TTCTCGCAGTCCTCAAAAGAGCCCTTAAATGGAGCCCATATACAGCTCTGATAGAAGCCCTACAGAACCCTGAGAGAACCATTCAAGAACCCTTACCAAACCGCGCAAGGAAACTCCCAAATGAACCCTATACCCTAAAAAGGCCCTACAACTTTGACTTTAAACGGCCCCAAGCCCGTGAGAAAGCCCTTAAAAAGAGCTCTGTGAGTCACTCAGCAACCAGGTATAGCGACCGTCTCATCCCAAGCCGTGCGTCGACTAATCTGGAGCTGCTCTGGATGTGGGGTTTAGGGTTTACGGTAGACCCCATAAAGTTGGAAACCGGATTCAGGCCAAATAGTGCCGGGATTCCCTATACATTGCTCTTAAGGATTGAGGCTATGGAGTTTCCAACTTTTGGGCTTCTACTGTAGGGGGATTGCGTTTTTTGGCGGTTTAAGGTTTAGGGTTTAGCCGAGCATCTCTGTCAGTGCTGGGCAGGAAGTTAAGGCTGGGTGTAGCAGCACATCAGCAGTCTTTTTTGGCCTCCTTGTCCACATGAAAAGAATCCTGGTGCTACTTTGCAGCACCCGATATTCTTGCCCCCTCCATTGCAAGAAGACAAAGCCTCCGGGCCGTCAGGAATCAGCTCAGCAAGCAGTCGACAGCAACAAAGCACTTTCCGCAGCTGGTCGCCCAGCCATAGACAGACTTGGCAGCAACCTAAGCCCAAACCCTTAAACCCTGAAGCCCTCGAGCACTCAAGTTCTTGTACTCTGCAGCCCTCAAGGTTTAGACTTGAGTCGAAGGCCTCAAGCCCTGGGAAAGCCCTGAACGTCTCCACCCCCTTCATACCATTGTGTGAACCGACCTCGCGGACCTACGAGAACTGCCACAGGCAAATCGTCAGAATACGGTTTGGGGGGCCATGATACTATACTTATACTAAGGACCCCCCAAAATAGTATAGGTAATTATTAAGGCCACTATATTATATATAAGTATAGGCTCCTGCTGCAACTTCTACTCTGACTCCACGGCTGCTCCTGCTCCAGCTACTGCCCCTGCTGCTGCTGCTGCTGCTACTGCTGCCACTACGACGACGATGACTGCTGCCACTATACGTCTTTTACGACTACTACTATTACTACTGCTGCTACTGCTACTGCTACTGCTACTGCTTCTCCTACTGTACTCCTACTCCTACTCCTACTCCTACTCCTACTCCTACTCCTACTCCTACTCCTACTCCTACTACTCCTCCTACTACTACTACTACTTACTACTACTGCTACTACTTCTACTCCGGAATGCTTTGTAGCGATACCCCTCCTCGTCCAAAAATACTAGAGTCCATAATTTATCACACGATATCATGCTTAACCAGACTCAGTATACTATGCTGCGACATGATAGTATCCTTTAATGTACTTACGATACGATGCTCTAGTATAACATACAGTAACATATGTAATATACATGCAGCAATCTAGGAAAATCGACGGAAATACACTACGGTTATAGTTACTTAAAGGATTACACCCTAAACCCTAAACCCTAGACCCTAAACCCTAAACCCTAAACCCTAAACCCTAGACCCTAAACCCTAAACCCTAAACCCTAAACCCTAAACCTCTAAACTTTCGCCGGAGGAATCAGGGCTTGGCCTGCTTCCTGAAAATGCTTCCCCCGCGCAGAGTCCAGGTGCCTCACTTAAAGGATCTATAGGGGCTCCTTAAAGGGATCTACAGGGGTTCCTTAAAGGGATCTACAGGGTTTAGGGTATAGGGTCTACTTAAAGGATCATGGGACTTAGTAACTAGGGTTATAAATAAGGTAACTATACTTATAACTACTTATAACCCCAATTGGGGGACTTATAACCTTACTTGCTAAGTCCCCTGATCCTCCAAGCATGTGTGTTACAGGGATCTTCAGGGGTTTTGGGGGTGTTATGGGGGCTTCGCTTCTGGGGGGTTTTGTTTTTGGGGTTTAGTGTCTTCGGGTGTTTGTAAGGGTTGATGTTTGTTTTTTTGTGAGTTGCGGGGTTTTAGGGTTTACGGCTTGGGGTTTGGGAGGTTGTGGGTTGGGTTTTTTGTGCTCCAAGGATCATGGAACTTAGTAACTAGGGTTCAGGGTTGGGGCAAGGGGCATCTTGGGGATTTCGGAAGGGTCAGGGATTCGGGGTTGAGGAGATAGGGCTTGGCCTGTCTGGTGCGAATGGGGCATGGGCATGGGTTATTGGGACTAATTAAAGGATCATGGGACTGAGTACTTTGGGTTATAAATAAGGTAACTATACTTATAAGTACTCATAACCCCGATTAGGGGAGGTATAACCTTACTTACTAAGTCCCGTGATCCTCTAAGTACTATAGGGGACCTTATAAGCGACTGTCATATGGATCCATCCCTACTAAGCACCACAGAGGCCAAGGCCCTTAGGGTTTTGCGGTTTAGGTTTCTTTTTGGGGTATTTGGCTGCGCCAGCGAGGAGGCTATGGAGCGTGCTTTTTGGGGTTTTAGGGATTGGGGTCAGGGGTTCAAGCTTTTTGGGTTTTGGGTATAGGGTTTGGGGTTTCAGGTTTAGGGTTTAGGGTTTATGGCGCTGCCTTGCTTGCGGCTTGCTTGCCTGCTTTCTGTATATCTTGCTTAGAGGATCACGGGACTTAGTAAGTAAGGTTATAAGTCCCCTAATTGGGGTTATGAGTACTTATGAGTATAGTTACCTTATTTATAACCCGAATTATTAAGTCCCATGATCCTTTAAGTGGGGAGGCTTCGTGGCTTCAGGGCCTTTGGTTTCTGGGTTGAACGGGGAAGGAAGACCGACTCAACTCTAAGCCCGAAATCCTAAACCAGAAGCCCCCCTAAACCCTAAAGTCCCCAAAGTCCCTAAAGTCCCTAAACCCAAAGGTCCCTAAGCCCTCCCTAAAGTCCCTAAACCCTAAAGTCCCCAAAGTCCCTAAAGTCCCTAAACCCAAAGGTCCCTAAGCCCTCCCTAAAGTCCCTAAACCCTAAAGTCCCTAAAGTCCCTAAACCCAAAGGTCCCTAAGCCCTCCCTAAAGTCCCTAAACCCTAAACCCTAAAACTCCTAAGCCCAAAACCCTACAGTCCCTAAGCCCCAAACCCCCCCCGTACGCTTGCAGGCGATGGACAGGGCCGGGATGAGAACGCGCCCCCCTAAACCCTAAAGTCCCTAAACCCGAAGCCCCTAAACCCTAAACCCAAATGTCCCTAAACCGTCCCTAAATTCCCTAAACCCTATTTGGGGTTATAAGAAATTATAAGTATAATGTATGATCCTAGTCACTAAGTCCCATGATCCTTGAAGTCCAGGCGATGGACAGGGCCGGGATGAGAATGAGCCACCCAAACCGTAAAGTCCCTAAACCCTAAACCCAAAAGGTCCCTAAACCCTCCCTAAAGTCCCTAAACCCTAAAGTCCCTAAAGTCCCTAAACCCAAAACAAAGTCCCTAAACCCGCCCGTACGCTTGCAGGCGATGGACAAAAACGCCCCTAAACCCAAGAGTTCCTAAACCCAAAAGCCCCTAAACCCTCCCTAAAGTCTCAGGCGATGGACAGGGCCGGGATGAGAATGGCAAGTCCTTCGACCGACTCCTTCGGACGGAAATGTGGTCGGCTCAGGTCCTTCTTCTCTCAAGAGGGGAAAAGGAGGGACCCTTTAAAGGGATCTTTAGGGATTCTATGAGGGTATAGGGTTTAGGGTTTGGGGGTTTTGGGGGTTTTGGGGGTTTAGGGGGTTTAGGGGAAAAGGAGGGGCCCTTAATGGGGACCCCTACCCTATAATGGGCTATATAATGGCTATATAATAGCTATATTAAGGGTATATACCTAGGGCTCCTTATAAAGGGTCCCTCACCTTCAAGGGATCTACAGGGTTTTAGGGGTTTAGGGTTAGGGTTTAGGTTGATGATATACACACTACATGACCCATGACATCATGATGAGGATGTTACCATAATTCCCAGAGTCTAGGGTCATTGAGGTACTGCAGGATTCATCTCATCAAGCGTACTCGAAGCCTGGCGCCCGGGATCCGAAACTGTAACGTGGGGGCCTTAATTGTTTTTAATAGGGTTCCGGGCGCATCATACTATAATTAAAATGAGGAACCCCCAAATTCGTATAGGTAAAGATTTAGGGAATTTAGGGCCCTGTAGAAAGCCCTCCCCCGCAAGGTTGGGGCAAAGCTCCCCGAAGCCTGTGACGAGCTCGGAGAGGCAATGGGGTTTGGAGTTTAGGGTTTAGGGCTTAGGGTTTGCGGGCGTGTAGGGTTTTTGGGTTTGGGGCTTAGGGTTAAGGGTTTTGGGTCTAGGGTTTAGATCTTAGGGTTTGGGGGGTTGTAGGGTTCAGGGTTTAGCGCGTAGGGCGTAGGGTTTGGGGGGTTTTCGGGTTTCGGGTTTATGGCTTCGGGTAGAGGGTTGAGAGTTTGAGCCTCCTCGAGCAAAAGCCCTCCAACTCGCAATTTGGTTTACCATGGAATTGACAAGGGTTTTGGGAGGGTTGTATCCTAAACCCTAAACCCTAAACCCCCAAACCCCTAAACCCTAAACCTTCAACCACAAGAGAGGCTCTTAGAAGGGTTTGCGGTTTTCGAAGCCTATGAGTGCTCCGTTGGCCCCTGTAAGTCGAACCGAACACCCTTGTGAATGCCTTCCATACCCTGAACCAACACTAGGACCTAGAGTAGGCCCTTATTCCCTTTTTTAGGGTTCAGATTCCCTTTTAAACCCCTTTAAACCAAAAAGGGCACCCTTTTTATTCCTAGGTTATTCTTGGGTCAAGAACACATTCTTAGCCAACAAACATGTCTGAGCTTTAAACCTCAAACCCTAAACCCTAAATCCTGAACAGCCTAAATCTTAAACCCTAAACCCCGAACCCTAAGCCCTAAATCTAAAACGAAGAAGGCAGGGTCTCCCGCCTCGGCAAAGTCGGCACCTTTTGCCGCACTTGATCCACTCGTGCGCCTGCGGGTCGCTCGTCTGTGCTTGCTTCAAAGAGAAGGGCCCTTCGCATCAGAAAACAGCTTCACAGATTTACACTGGTTAGAAATATCCTCCTTCTCTTTGAAAGTCAAAATGAGTCCTTTCTTTAAGGACTCCCACCATAAAGCTGCTTTCAGCGGCTTTGTCAGGTGGTCCGCATACTGTGCCGTTGTCGGCACCCATACAAGTCTTCCCAGAGACTTCAGATCATCTCTGATTGCTGCCAAATCGATGGCAAGCCTCTTGCAGGAGGGAGGACGCGGTATTCCATCCCGCGTCAGGGTATCATACAAGCTCTTGCAGTCACTCAGGAAACGAACTTCGTATCGTAGGGGCTCGTTGCTTCGAGCCAACCTTCCATCCACAAGGGTCTGCAGAAACCGGAGTATGTACTCTCCAGTTTCTATCGACGTCGCACATCCCATAGTCTCCGCAGCGAAAGTCGAGCGGCACACACGGTCGCATGCAGAGCTCTTCCAGTCTAGGATGCTCACTTTGTGGCATCCCCCATGTAGGATAGCTCGGTCGGCGAGCAAGTAGAGGCCGCCAAGCTGTGAGGCTATGCATGAGTTCGTCCGCTTAGCCTTGCGCAGGTGGAAGTCGTAGGGCCCGTCGAGCATCGTGCCGGCGGTGTTCTCCTCTGGAGTGAGGGCGTAGTAGGGGTCCTCGTCGCTCTGAGGACAGTTCGCCCATCCTGCGTCGTGGTAGCACAAGAGGACCGCTTGGTCGAGCGGAACTGGTCGTATGAGGATCCCTTCGTCCATGTGGTCGCAAGCTCTCCTTGCCATCATGTTCGAAAACCGGATGTCTCCGATGGTGGGGGTCTTCTGGCACTGCTGGCTCAAGGACACTCCGACCTGAAGATCTGGTCGGGTCTGACTAGAGAGCCAGCTCAGACCTCCCACCAGTGACATGTTGTCGTGCCTCTGGGCATCAGAGGCTGCCTCCCAATCCTTCTGATCGCGTCCAACCTCGATCTCAAACAACCTGGTCTTCACGTAGCTGGACTGGGATATCTTGATTTCGTGGGGCTTGATGTCGATGTAGGATCCCACGTACTCAAAGGATCCTGTTTCCCATTCCGGGATCGGGAATTTAGTACTCAAGGTCTTTTTGATGAGGGAGCATAAGGAGTCCATGCCGACGAGCAGGATGTCGTCAACATGGACGCCGAGGAATGCCTTGGGAGAGCCGTAGCGAGGCGCACCGGTTTCATCCGGTTCAAGGACTTCCTGTACCATAAAGATGCAGTGGTCGAGTGTACACTGCCGAATGTGCCACCGCTTCCCGGCCTCGTCGGTCATCTCGATGCCTTGCAACGTCTGTCTGAGGGTGTCCCACCACGAAGACGGAGAATCAACCAACCCAAAAACAGGGCGTTTGATCCTGAGCAGTTGTTCTGGGTGCAAGTCACCTAGCCCCACTTTCGGCTGGCGGAGATAAAGTTCGCGCTGCAGCTCTTGCCCGCAAAGAAAAGCCGAGCTGACGTCTCCCGCATGACCCGTCCATCCGGCATCCAGATTCGAGGCTAAGATCTGTAACAGCAGGAAGATCCCCTGTCGAGAGATGGTGGGCGCATGGGTCGAGAGCCCGCTCGACAAGTCAGGGTCTCGATGTCCAGCGATTACGAGCCTTGCCTTGGGTTTCCAGGGCAGGGCCTCGTCCTGCTTTCTCTTGCACCAATGTTTATCCCTGTAGGCGAACCTGCTGCCCAATATACGATCACCTTTCTCCTGACAGATCCGACGGCTTTCGGAAACAGAGAGCGGCTCAAGGGCGCCCAGCTCGTAATGCTCCAACCACTGTTTGCGCTCAGCAGCTTTGAAGGCTTCGTGTTGGTCGCTCGGAATGAACGACCACGGTAGCTCTTTCTCAAGTGCCTTCTCCCTGCCTCGTGCAGTCTTTGGGAGCTTGAGCATGTGAGCTTCTTGGGGTCGGTCACCAGAAGCTCTGGCCGCCCCCTCAATAGGCAGGTCGTCACCTGAAGGAAGTGGTGAATCGGGTACAAGAGGAAGTTCATGACCAAGATGAGGAGGTGGCCCTTTTCTCCTCCTCCTTTTCCGAACACCAGGGGCTTCTTCAGCTCCTCTCATCCTTGGACTCCGGTGTGGTTCCCCGGCGTTCTCGTAATCACCGTCGTAGGGCATCTCGACGTCGCCTTGGGAGGCCTGAGGATCACCCGGAAGGTGAACGGAACCGTCACCAAGAGGAACGCCAGGGTCTCCAGGTAGAAGAGGTGGATTTCCGCCAACATCACGGTCATCCCCGACATAGATCTCGTCTTCGGCGAAGTCGCGGTCCAAGAGTCTCTCCAAATCTTCTCGTGTAGTACGCAGAGTAAAAGCACTGCCCACTTCCTCTCCTGTAGCCATCCGCAAATGTTCTCGGGCCACGAGGTGGCACCTCCCGGCAAAGGAGGTCCAGTAGTTTGGACCTTCCAGTCCTATGACTGTAGCCGGGCCGATCCATCTCCAGTCTTTGCAGTTCTTCGGCTTGCGGTAGAAGTAGACAACGATCTGGACCTCGGGGCCTGCCACGCGAGAGCGCTGCAGGAGAGCTCTCCTCAACTTCGCGTCGTTCTGGTTCTTGAAGTAGGCTTCCTTCGCACCCAACCTGATAGCCATTTCCCGACTTCTCCGACGGTCGTAGGTCAGGATGTGGTCGATCTGTTCGCCGGGTGGTGTCTCGAGGAGGTCCTCGGGGAGAGTGGCGTCACGACCCCACACGGCCTGGGCTGCACTGAAGCCAGACTGCTTCTTCAAAGTGTTCACAGCCGAGTTGATGGCGGTGACGGTGATCTGAAGTTCTCCGTGGCCAACGGACTGCTGGTCGACGAGCTTCTTCCAGATCTCCTTCCAGGTTTGGATGGCTCTCTCAACACTCCCTTGTTGGAAGTGTGCTTGGCCTGCAGAGGGCCTGAGCTTCGTCCCATGCCACTCCGAAAAACGCCCGAGACCGGCCTGCAAGCCGCTCTCCAAGTCCAGAGCGATCGTTCCCGGCGCTCCGAAGGTGTTGGACCAGATCCTGCAGAAATCTGCCTCCATGGTCTGGGTGGAGTGACCAGACAAAGAGCCTGCCAAAGAAAACCCAGTGCCGAAGTCTGTGACCATCATGAACTCATGTCTCCTCCGGTTGGAGTCGTAGGCAGAAAAGGCATCGACCGCTACGATCTGGTTGAAGTCGAGGATAGTCGGAAGGGAGGCCGGTCGAGCTGAACCGGCTCTCTTGTTTCTCTCACACACTTGGCACCGCATACGCTTGACAGCTTCCACCACTTCACTTCCTGCCCCGGCAATTCGTAGATGGCGGGCAAGGTCCTCGTTCAATGGGTGACCGAGGTTCTGGTGCAGTCGTTTCAAAGAAGATTGAACCTCTTTCTTGATCCGGCTTCCGACGCTGAATGAAATAGCCTTCGCACCCTCGAGCTCGGGGGAGAGCACAGAGTCGGGAGCCCGTCCGGTCTTCCGATCGACAACGTAGGCTTCTTCACCTCCGTCGGCTCCTTCATCTCGTAGTAGATATCGTTGAAAAGTCTCGACGGGGATCTCGTTGTCGCCATCCTCTCCGAAGGTCTCGGTAGGGTTGAGGTGAAGAACTCGGGAGCCATTGGAACGGTGGGTCCATTTGTAGTCGTAGAAGTCGGCGAGGGCAAGGAGTTCCTCGGAGGACCAGCTTGAGTCTTCCGGCTTCCCTTCAAGGACGACTGTCCTCCCGGCCGCGAGTTGTCGTTGGGCAACAGCAAGCAGTCTCTCAAGTTGGTCTCCCAGAGACGAGAGATGTATCCAAAGCCTCCGTGGTCGTAGTTCATCAAGTATCGCTGTTGTGGTGCTGAGGTTGTGGTCGGCCCGGAAGTGTTCCTCATAAAGCGGTTCAGTAGTAACATATCCATGCTCCGTGGCCTCAAAGGTCTTGTAGTCACCACCGATCTCGAGGAGCGTCACTGCATCGGGTCCTCGCGACTCGGGGAACGCAGGGAGGACGCAGGCAGATGCCGCAATGCTGCACCACACCGTAAGCGCGATGATCCGCCTGGCATTCTGCCACAAAGCTTTCCTCGTACTCTTGATGGGCCGAGAGGTCCGAGCGTACTCCTCATTCTCTTTGACAGCAGTAGGCGGAAGCTTGCGGAGGGGGAAACGGACTTCACGGAGTCCATCGCGTAGTCGTCCTCCAGCAGAAGGGAAACTTCTCGTAGTGAAACACGAAATCACCCATCGCTCTCCAGTCCAGGGTTCTGTGGCGTGTCTCCTCCGCGGGTCCAGTAAGTAGGGAGCGCCTTTTGTGGAGGCCAGATATCCCGGTAGAGGATTGCCGTCTCGGTCGGGTCGCCACTCAACAGGTAAGTGAAGGGGGTCATCATCACGATCTCGTTCGACCCATACGCAACCACCGGAAAAGTCACCGAGGGAGACCGTGAGCACCGGGGTCTCTGCAAGATTGTGGGAGTCTCGGTGTATACACGTGGCGACGTCCTTATGGATGACAAAGGAAGACCAACCGATGTCCTTCACAGGACTCGCCCTCTTCATCACCTCGTTGACATAGGAGACGAACTTCGGATAGAGGGCAGTTCCTCTCGAGATTCCATGGAGTCCTCCGTGAGTCCACATCCCGCCGAGGAAACTCTGTGTTTTGTCGCCGGGGTCGCCATTGATGCACCTGTGCCTGGAAGTCGGCTTCATAGGTAATTGGGGAAGTAGTAGAGCAAGTTCATCAAGAGAGAAACGCTTCTCTTTGAGTAGTCGCTGTGCAGCTTCTTCAAGGCTGGCGCCACTTGCGTCAAGAGGCCCAGTGGAAGGAGTGCCCTCATCGATCATGTAGATCTCCTCGACAACTTCACCAAAGGGCTTCAAAGGTGACCTTGACGGTTGAGACTCGCAAGAGAGATCACCAGGAAGTCCGCCAGGATTGCAACGGGTTCCATTGGTGTTCTGGTCACTGGGAACTGGATCACTTGGTACGGGTAGTGCCGAAGAAATAGGATCACCAGGAAGTCCGCCAGGATTGCAATGGGTTCCACTGGTGTTCTGGTAACCAGGACCCGAAGCGCGAGGAAAGGTTTCAGGATGATCTCGTGGTCGAAGAGATTCAGGTAGTACAGAAGGTCCTCCGGCAGGATCTCCTTGATCTTGACGAAGATCATCTAGAAGGGGTCTCGCACAGGGGTCATCGACATCGGGCAAACGAGCGGCACCTTGACAAAGCAGATGAGGTGCTTGAACTTCAGAAAACGAATTAGGTCTGCATTGGTCTCCGAGAGACCCGCCAAAATGGCCTTGGCGCCGAGCTCCGTCGGCATCAAAACTGTTGGTTGGCTCTGCGGGCTGGTTCCTCCCACCTTCATAGAAAGGCCAGTGCCGGAGATGGTAGCATCGAAGGAGCCAGGAAGATCATCTCGTGGGGCTCCGACAAAGGCCGATTGAGGTTTGTCGTCTACGGGGCCTCTCCCGAGGGGGCCATTCCATGCCGGTCGCGCAACACCGCTAGCCGCGCCTGGAGGTACTGGATCTCGTCCATGACCTGGGGGTCGATCTCCTGGTCCATAAGGCTTCCGAGAGATGATGGCGGGGCTTGGCGCCGCTGTGCTTGGATGCGCTGCTCGATCACCTCGTTCTCCGCCCGGGTCGGTCTGGCTTTGGGTCTCGTGGTCGTCCGGGTAGTAGTCGTGCTCCTCGTCGGGACCACATCCCACGAGCTGCCGCCGAAGGACTCCGGGTTGTAGGGGATCCTCGCCGAGTGTTCCGAGTCCACATAAGGGGGAGGAACCGAGCTGTTCGCATATCCGTCCGTGATCTCCAGAGCTCGGCTCGCCCACGCCGCGAACATCTTCAAGTCCTCCTGGGCCCCGTCGTTCTCGGACACCTCCTGAACAGCCCAGCGCCGGTACGAGAGCACCGTCTGGGGTCCTCGTCCTCCTTGGTCTCGTAGCATTCGCATCAACATGCCTTTGTTGGCCTTCTCCGGAATCGCTATCCCCGAGGCCTCGAGCGCGTTCTCGAGCTCCTTGATCGTCATCTTGGTCAGCGGCACCGCTTCTCCGGTTCCAATCTCCGTCGCGGGGGCGCTGCGCTTCATGTCCTCCTGGATGATCGAACGGATCTCCGGTACCGTCCACTTCTCGTGGATGGTGAGTCCCCTCGCCTCGGCTTCCATCAGTAGTAGCTCGTCCCGACGGAGATCCCATAGCCCCTTCTGCTTGGTCACCGTGGGCGCCGTCAAAACCGGGGACCGTGAGGCCATCAGGGGGCGAGCAAGAAGAACAGGAGGGCTTGGAGGCTCTACCGAAAGAAGTTCTTCCGACCCACAACATCGGGAATGAAGATTTGCTTCCAAGGCTCTGCCACTGATCGTGCACTTCAGGAAACTCTCGCTGTGTCTTGCAAGCAAAACCCTGTGTTGACCGAAGGGACCCGAGGACATGAAGAAGAGCAGACTTCTGTTCAACATTCGACGTTGACCATCCACTGGGATCAAAGAACGACCTCCTAGGAACAACATGTATCCGATGAAGCTGAAACTCGTCCTCAATCCAAAAGTCGTTTGAAATCGCACTTCTCTCCCACCACGCCATAAAGCTTGAGGGGTTCACTTTATCAGATGTGAGGAGGTTGTAGGCTTCAATGCTGATCTTCTTCGGGTAGAACACCTTGGGGCCTGGTACAGCTTCTGGGCCTCTGGAGTCCTCGAAAGAAAGGCCTGGGAGAAGCGGGGGTGGACCAACATGACAGACATCACCCTCACACTCCAACATGAACCCCGGCACTAACCATGTAAGCCGTGTATTGCTGCGTCTTCGGAACAATCAACAGCTCGCGCTCCTTCCAGTCGCAACTCTTGATGGTTGCGGCAGAGACACAAAAAGGGCGCACAGGTAGCGCCGGGTGGCCAGTCTCCGTCGAGAGAAGCTTCAAGTCACGCACATTCAGCTTCTTGAAGCACGCGGAGTTTTCCTCCACGTCCATGACCATACCCATCTGGGCCAGGGCCGGACGCGAGACCAGAAGTGGTAGGTCTCCGTTCACAACAGCGACACGAAGGAGAATGACACTCTCACCCACCGTAAAGCTGACAACGACGGCATAGGTAGAGTCGAAGATGCGTGAGGCGCCGAACTTGTAGGAATCCTTGCAGTCCACCACCTGCGGGAGGTATCCGACTCTCTTTGCCTCGGCCATATACTTTTCCACCCACGGAATGCCCGCAACGGAACGGCTGCAGGCAGTGTCGGTGATCGCCGTCAGATTCGAGGTGGGGACCTTCTCATCGAGGTCCCAAGTCACGTACACAAGCTGGCACGGGTAGTTGCTCTTCACCTTGGGATCGTCGTCCTTCCTCGTAGGCGTCGTCGTAGGTCCGGTAGGGCGCGAGGAGCCGCCAGGATTCGCACCAGCATTGCCGGAACCACCCCCAGGTTGGTTCAGAGGGCATTCTGGGTCCAAGTGCCAATGCCCCTTTCTGCGGCACCCGGCGCAGAAGCTTTTCGCCTTTGCCTGTTTCAGGCGATCTGCCGCCAGCTGCTTCATTCCTTCCGGGTCGCTTCCTCTCAGCTTCGAGATCTCCTTGTATCTTTGTTTGGCGGACTCATGTGCCATGTACGAGGTGTAGAGCTCCTCCGCGACATGTTCTGGTACGCCCTCTGACTGTGCGTCCTGGTAGCCGTCGCCGTAGTCGTCGATGTCGTCGAAGCCATCCTCCGCGAGGTTAGCCTGTTGAGGCTTGCGGCCCCACCACTTCAGACCTCGGTCCGGTCTCTGAGGCTGGGCTCCTTTGGCTTCCCAGGGCTTACGGAGATTGCGGTCCTGAACGATGGCTGCCTGCTGGAGCCTCTTCAGGTTGTACTCGTTCTGGACGGAGGCCAGGAGATTTAACTCTTGGCCTTCGTCAAGAGTCATCCGGTCGACAAACACCCAGGCGCTGGCAATGTCGGGGAGATGGCATCCGCATTCTTGAAGCCTCGCCAAGGCTCTGTCGAAGTCACTCATGTAGTCGCGGATACTCTGCCCTTGCTGGCGACGGAGTCGCCTGAAGAAGTCTCCGAGGGAGCGGCCAACCTGGGTGACTTGTACATCCAAGTACCTGTCAGTCACCCAACCAAGGAAGTACTCCATGCCGTCGTCACCGGCGAGCTTGTCGACGTCCAAGCGCTCCGCGTCGATCCAGGCCTTGCCGCTCAGGTGCTGGTACAAAGTGAGGGCTTGGCGGGACGGCTCAATGCGAGTCATCCGCCTCCAGGCGGCGATTTGCCGCATGTAAGACCGAGCACTGGCTCCGATGTCTTCGGAGCCGCTTTCCACAGCCCCAGAGAAACTGGGGACAACCATCTTCTCGGAAGGGCCACGGGGAACTTCTGAAGTCCTTGGAGGGCCGGTCAGATCATGTCCGAGTTTCTGAGGCTGCCATCCACCAGGCATAGCATTGCCTCCGCGAGGTCTCCATGCCTCCCGAGCAGATTCTTGAGGGTCTGGGTCCCAAGAAGGCGGTCCTTGGGCCGAGACAGACCCCGTGGACGTAGAACCCCAAGTGCCGCCGTAGCTGTTGCGGCGGTCCTGCCATCCTTGCGCACCTTGGCGCCAGTGGTGGTCTTCCCAAGACTTCCACTGGTCCCGCTCTTCCCATCCGGAGTGTCCCCGCCAGGAATCCTGACCTCCACTCCAGGCTGCCGAGGCCCACGGGTCGTGGGGCTCTTCAGGTTCATCGTTCGAAGCGCCATCAGCGTGAACATCACGTGCATGAGCGCCTCCTCCTACTCCGTCACGATCGGCAGACACGCCATCACTATGTTGTTGCGCAGAATCATCACCAGTATCACGACAAAACTCATCAACAGAAGGACCGACAGGCCACGACATAGCGGAGTACAACTACACTACTGGAGCATAAGGCTCCGCTACCAATCTAAAACGAAGAAGGCAGGGTCTCCCGCCTCGGCAAAGTCGGCACCTTTTGCCGCACTTGATCCACTCGTGCGCCTGCGGGTCGCTCGTCTGTGCTTGCTTCAAAGAGAAGGGCCCTTCGCATCAGAAAACAGCTTCACAGATTTGCACTAAACCCTGAACCTGAAACCCCAAACCTCCTGAGACAGAAGCGCCCCCGACCCAGGGAGGAATCCCAGCTTCGAACCCCGGAGCGATCCTCTGGGCTCTTCCGCTTCCGGGCAAAGGAGGACGCAGCTAGGCCGTAGGGCTCCTCCATTAAGGTCGCCTTTAGGGGTTCCTTTAAGGGTTCATGTAGAGGCTCCCTTAAAGGCTCCTTAAGGGGTTCCTTTACCGGATCCTTTGGGGGCTCCTTTGGGGGCTCCTTTGGGGGCTCCTTTGAGGTTCTATGAGCCTTATTTAATAGGGTTCCGATATAGGGGCTTAGTAAACCCGACATCCCTTTCTGCGTCAAGGATTGTGGTTTTAGTAGCTGGGGCTTTTGGGCTATACATCCTGACTCAGCCGCTCTCCTAAACTGTACTTGAAGGATCATGGGGTTTAGTAGCTAGCTCCGAATAGAGTAGCTATAGTGATATCTACTTGCGACCTCTGTTAAGCTCACCTATAGCCTTGCTTCCTAAGTCCCTCGATCCTTCAAGTAGGTGTTCGGATTCGCCATTGAACAGAGCCATAAAACCCTCCCTATACGGTTGATGATATAACTCCTGCATTACCCATAATAAGGAATTTACCATAATTCCCATCGTTTAGAGGTCTTAAGGTAATGCAGGATTTCTATCATCAACAGTAGAACCCTCAACCCGACAGGGTTCGTTTCTGGCGGCCTTCGAGGGGTTTTACGGCTGTTTTTTTCCAGGTTCGAGGTTTAGGGTTTAGGGTTTGGGGTTTAGGGTTGAGGTTTAGGACTGTCATGTTGTTGTTACGGCTGCTGATGGAGGTGGTGGTGGCGGTGGCGGCGGTGGTGATCAGGGTTGTTTTGAAGTGCTCGTAAGCGCTGGGGGTTGGGGTGGGCTTTAGCAGGAAGAAGATGTACTCTTTGGCACCGTGTGCTTAGCCTTCACATGCATGTTGAAGCGGAGTCCGGGTGTGAACCGCAGTCGCGGAAACCAGGAGAATTTAGCTGGGAAAGGTTCGAGTCGACTTGCTAGCCGTCCGGCAGTCCGAACCAGGCTCTAATGCTTGTGTGCCAATGATGGATAAGGAAAGCACCAGTGATGGTCCATAGCTTCCCAAGCTCGGGGGCAGCAAAAGCACATATGTAAGCATCAGCTCTAAATTCTACACTCTGATAGGTTCATTACCCTCTACCCTCTGCAGTTTATCCTACAGCCCTAAACTGCCCTAAACCCTGATCCCAAAGCCCTAAACCGTGAACCCTACAGTCTCTGTGTCGATGCGTTCTTGGGCTCCTATACACCGAACGTCCGGCCGGCGGCTGCCCGGCCGTCTGAACTTGCCTATGTGTTGTACCAGATCCGAAGTAACAAATTAGGAGCATGATTAAGAAGTCTTGGGCCCTTATTCGGGCTCCTTATGTGGATCCTACTATTTTGCTGTTATAGGCCCAGGGTTTCTGAATCAGGTTCCTACATTTAGATCAACCCCAGGCCCTGAAATCCAAAACCCTTCAACCCTTCAAGGCCCTTGAACCCGTAAACCCGAAACGCTTCAAACTGCACCCTGAAGCCTTCATTGGGCTTTTGCAAGTTTCCGTGCTGTGGCTACGCGAGATTGTGCGTCAAATTTTATTAACAGCATAGAAACGCCATAATCACCCTGTACACACTTATAGAAGCCTTTGAACCAGGGTCTCTAAGCCATATAAGGGTTGGACTATTTACTTTTAGTTCCTGCGTGCTTCACTCTAGTGCACCCCAAACCCTATTCTAATTATCAGGGCCCCTAAACCCGCATCACCTAGAGTCCCCACGTACTTTATATCATACTATAGAGCACTCCCAACACTATTCCTATGTTACTTCTTTTCAGGAGGACGCCTGCCTCTCCCCGTCCCTGCTGTCGGGAAGCACGTGCCTGGAGACCCCACGCAAGGCGGCGGAGACCTGCAGAGGGGTTTACTCCCTGGTTCTTCCCACCAACGCGGGTTTAGGGTTTAGGGTTTAGGTTTCGGATTCAGGGTTGAGGGTTTAGGGCTTAGGGCTTCGGGGTTCTCAGTAGGAACAGGGGAGTGGATCCTATGATAGTCCCTTACTTGAAGGGGCAGGGGACTTAGTAAGTAGGTTATAGGTAGAGCTGTAAGTACCCTAAATGGAGTTACCCCAATTGTAACCCTACTTATAAACGACTTACTAAGTCCCCGGCCCTCCAAGTAAGGTCCCTTACAGGAGCCCCTGTAACCCATTCCCCCATGCCCTACCAAGAGCCAAGGAAATTAAGATCAACCGAGGAGGCTCCAGAAGAAGTAAAATTTAAGCCTAGATAATTGCTAGCGTTCTGCCCTAGAGTTCCTTATTTTTAGCATACTATGAAGGAGCCCAAAGCCCTATTCTAAATGTTTAGGCCCCGATTATTACCGTCAGATGCAAGGGAGGCAGGGACTGCAGGACTGTTTGTCTATAAGCATGAGTTAGTGTGTAGAAGGTACTGTTCACATCAGAGATCGCCTTGCTGAGTGGTGCTTTATAGAAAAGGCGAATGTACGTAACATCCAGTTCCCAAAATTTGGACCGGCACTACAGCCTCTCAAACCCTAATCTTACAGTCTGAACCCCATACCCTGAAGCCTACAACCCTAACCCTAACGCTAAACCCTCCTCATAGTCCTCAACCCTTACCTACCCTAGACCCGGAACTCTATAGCCCAGCTGTTGCCGAATTGGCAGGCGCCACGGAAATTCCCGCAGGCTCCATACAAGGCCGGGTAGCCTCAACTCTTGTGAGTTCACGTCGTTTTGGTATAACACAGGCTTTGGGGTTTAGGGTTTGAAGAGGGGCCTGAATCAGTCGTGATAGCCTTCCTTGACTTTCCGGATTAAATACTAGTATACAAATCTAAGTAGTTCAGGCTTCTAAATCACAGGCAAGGCGACCTCAACAAACTCCGCACCATCAATCATCAGGTCTAAAAATGTGGTATCAATTCCTTCAACTAGGGTTCACGGTTTAGGGTTTGTGGTAAGGGTTTAGGCTTTAGTGGGGTTTGGGGTTTAGGGTTCAGGGTTTAGGGTTAAGGGTTTTAGGGTTGAGGTTTACGTTGTAGGGTTGAGTGCATCTGCTGGATACAGTTTTCAGAATCCGCTGGTGACATTTGAAGGAATCTTAGAGGGAAAGTTGAAAGAATCTGTTTGCCACCCCTCAAGAGACCCCTCAAGAGTCCCCTCAAGAGTCCCTTAGAAGTTAGCGTTTAGGCAGGGTCATTAAAAAGCAGAAGAGTCCAGAGAAGAGTCCAGGTACTGGCGGCACCTGGTCTCGAGGACCTTGGGTCCGTAGAGGTTTGGGCGGTTGGGCGGTTTTGGGTCAACCCTAAACCCTAAATCCCAAACCCCAAGCCATACCCTTAGATCCCCAATACCTAACCTTTAAACTTTCTGGGTTCGTATAGTTTAGTAGGAATCGGAAAGTTTAACCTTTTATTTCTGTGGCTTATTGGGGTAGTAAGTACCTGTACCCGATCAGACCTACCTCCTTTAAGGCTCTTGATTATGGTTTCTATATATAGTTCCTGAAAAATGTAGGTTTTTTGGGCCACAGGTAAACCCTACACCCCAAACCCCATAAACCCGAAATCCTGCTCTAAACCCCAAACGGTCCTCGCAGGACTTTTAGGTTTCTCGGCGTTAGCTTTAGGGTTTGGGGGTTGTGGGATTTCTCCAGGGCTTGGGTCTTTCATGCTTTCAATGTCTGAGGGTTTCGGGGGGCTTGGATTCGGTCTTCAAGAGGGCCTAGAGGTTTCGCGTAGTAGATTTAGGGTTTAGGGTAACCCTAAACCCTAAACTCTAAACCCTAAACCCTAAACTCTAAACCCTAAACCCTAAACCTAAAGGGCTCGGGTTGTAGACGTAGGGCTCTTGGTAGGGCCGGGCTTGGCCTGAGACCTCAGCTGCTGTGACAGCAAGAAAACCTAAACCGCAAGCGGGTTTAGGGTTTAGGGCTGAATCCTGAATTCGAAACACGAGCCCCAAACCCCAAACCACAAGCCCAAACCGCAAAACCCTAAAGCAAACACAGCTTCGATTGTCGGAGAGGATGACTACTATCTGAGCGTCCTGGACTGGTCTTCGGAAAACAACCTCGTGGTCGGACGGGTTCTCAGCCGCTGGCCGTTTCTGTGGAACTGCGGAGCTTTAACTTCGCTCTGCACCCTGGGTTCAGGGTTTGGGGTAGGGCTCATGATTTCAGTTGTCCTGGCCCTTCTCGAAAGAGGTTCGAGTTCTTTGTCCGCGCTACCGAGGTCTCGGAAACAGCGTGGACATCTGGAACGGCTGGACAGGCCACCTTTAAGGGTTCTATACGGACCCTGTAGGTGTTTAGGGCTGAGCAGGATGCGTGCTTCCGGTTGAGAGTTTAGAGTTTGCATCTTTTTAGGGTTTCGACAAGATAAGCGTCCTCTCACAGAACCAGTAATTATTGAAGCCCTGCAGAGGCCTTGTGGAAGCCTTGTAGAAGCCTTACAAAGCTTTTTGTCAAAAATTTAGAACCCATAAGAAAACCTTTCGCGAACCTGCGCGAGAAACCCTTGGGCCCTTGCAGAACCCTTGGGAGAAGCTTCATTCAACCGATCGTCAACCCTCGTAGAACCCTTACTTAGAGGATCATGGGACTTAGT